TCATGATAACTGTCATCATCATCATCATCACCATCATCAACATCACATATATGGCATATATGTGGTGCCAGGTTCTGTTCTTCCTCAAAGAGGTAAGTACTATAATTATCTCCATTTTACAATTGACGATACAATGAGTTGCAGCAACTTAATCAAAGACACAGAGCTCATTACTGGTATAGAGAAGGGTTGAACTCAGGCTTTTTGACTTCAGAGTCCTCTTTGCTCTTTGCAGTTGCACTGAAGTACCTCTCTCTGCTGGGATTCCAACACAGATCAACAGTAATGTGGGAGAGAAATCACACAAAATTATAACATAGTCCTATTTTTCTACAATATCCCTGTTTAATGGGAAAAAAAGATAAAATATGAAATGCTGCTATAGCAGATTTCTATTAAAATATTTTTGGTATAACTGGTCACCAAAGTTTTGAGTAGCAATGGTCCATACATATAATTGAATAAGTGAAAGGATGGAAGAAAAAGATATATGAGTGATTATAAGCTCTTGTTTGAATATGTGACAGTAACATTTTGAAGAGGTATTTTGAGAAAATGAAGAAAATGTTTGATAAGACAACGTGTTTTGCAAGGGTGAGGAGAAACAAACACTAATATATTGCTGGTAGGAATGTAAATTTCTACAACCTCTTTGAAGTGCAAATTGGCACTATCTATCAACAATTTCAATGTACTTATCTTTTGACCCAGTAATTCCACTTTTAGGAATTTATACAATAGCCATTCTTATACATGTATATAAAAACTAATGAACAAAAATATATATTTTCTTACTTTTTGTCGTAGTAAAAGGTTGAGAAAAATCTAAATGTATATCACTTTTGGGGTGGTGATTTAATAAAATACACTATCATGTGGCCATTAAAAAATTAAGTAGACCTTTATATGCTTATATAAAATAGCCCCTAGGATATTTCAAGTGAAAAAAGGCAAGATGTGAAAGAGTGTGTTAATATTTCGGTCAAGAAGAAGGGGGACAGAAAGAAAGACAAGACGAACATGGTCGTAACTGTATGTTGTAAACTCATAGGCTCTTTCTGAAAGAATACGTAAAAAACTGATAATTATGATTACCTCCAAGAAAGGGAGTTAAGGGACTAGGTCAGGAGTAGGAGAGAGGATTGTCACAACCTTGCCTTTCGTTCCATGACAATTTCTTTCTTTCTTTCTTTCTTTCTTTCTTTTCTTTTTTTTTTTTTTTGCCATTCGTCACTATGGGGATCCAAACCCATGACCATCGTGTCACCAGCACCACACTCTCCCAATTGAGCCAACCAGCCAGCCCTCATGCACAATTTTTTTTAACTGTTTAAAAATAAAAGCTAACCTGAATGAATATTTATTAAGAAGAGTTTAATGTTAAATGTTTAGGAAGAACTCCATTATCATACTAAAAATTGGCTATTATTAGTATTAGTATACCTACACTTGAAGTGCTCTATATGCTACACGAAATATAATACATCCCAAAGAGGAATACAGTTATTTATTAATTTTTTTTTAAAAAATCAGGTTTCAAGAAAAGTTGGAGTGTAAGCACTTAATAGGGAGGCATAAAAATCCCAGGTTTGGTGCTCATAACTTGACAGATAAAACATTATTATACAAAGGATGATGCTTTTTGATTTTTGTTTTTAATCTCCACTAAAACTCTAATAAAATAACTGGCAAATGGCTTGTACTAAGGATTACTCAACTCTTGGAATGGATACCAAAGACAGTTCTATGATTTTCTTCCAGAAAGACTTTTAATAGTAAAGAAGGTTGGTCTGAGGCAAGTGTTTCTCAGTCAAAGGAAAGAGCTAAACAGTTCAGCTCTGGGATTCTCAGATAAACCATGCCTAAAGATGAAATCACATATTATGGTACCACAGAGCGGTACGACAGAGAAAAAGAGAAGCAACCTGAATGTCTAGTATAATAAACTGCAGCTCACCAAGCTATGCCTAAATTAAGCAAGAACCACCACCAGGCTGTTGACTTTGCCAAAACACTGGAAATGGAATCTGCTTAGAAACTAAAGGCAGAGAAGCCTGAGAAGGCAAAAAGCAGGCACAAGGCAGGCAGGTGCAAGAAGAGGAATACTCCAGCAAACACTATCAGCCTTGGGAGACAGGATTTGAAGATATTATAGTTTTGTGATGTTACTTCCATAGATCTCTGATATTATTGTGCACCTCTAAGGTGATTCAAAGATAGCAGAGTACATGGGAAGCAGACAAGATCAACAAGGTATTCTCTGACGGACACAAATGGCTCCCCTGTGGCACATGAGTGTCTTAAGTGTATTTTTGCATGGCACTGTATTTCTTTTCTCCTTTATGTCTAAGAAGAAAAAAATGAATCTTGTCTTAGAAAAATTAATAAGGCTTCAAGTTCAAAGTAATTAGTGAAAAGGAGGGTTTCTACATATATCTAAATAATCAGGCATACACACAAACTCACAATTCCCATGCCATATGTACACTCCTTTTAGAAAGATTAAGACAATGGCCACAACACACAGAAGTTAGTCTTTGAGAGGAGGGAGAGATTGAAAAAGAAAGGAAAAATTGATATTAATTAATATTAACATTTACTCTATTTATTTATGCCATACCCATGTTTAAGTAATATGAGTTCACTATATTCATTCATACTGCACATGGCTTGAAAGGGATAGGGAGAAGTGGGGGCCAGGAAATCACAGGGCAGAGGTACAATCAGACAAAGTAAAAATAACAAACCATTTTCCCTACTTTCATTTAAGCAAACATCCAGGAGAATAACAAGAAGTTCATACCTGTTTTCAGAACTGCATGTCTCTTAGGTACTGCTGACCTCATGGAACTGGAACCCTAGGAACAGGTAATTTCTTCCAGAAATTCTCCAGAAAGCAGCCCTGTTTTCTTTAGCTGTGTTTCAGGTCACCCTGAAGTTCAATCCACCAGGATGACTGCCAACTCTGTTGTTCCTTTGCAATTTAAAAATAAGTTCTAAGCTGAAATGTTCTTTATTAAATAACGTTAAATACATTCCTGTCAGGTGAATCAAATCCAGCCATGACCTTGATTCAACCAAAGACCTTGATTTGCACACTCTCTAATAGATGCTAGAGGGGAATTTAAAGTGTGGTATTCTTGGAGGATTTGGAAAGCAGAAGTAAGATTAGGAATGAGAAAGGATAAATATATTGTAGATATTGTGGGGAAAGACAAAGTATTGAAAAAAGGAAGTTAACAAAGGGAGAAAGGCAGAGAAGCTGATTAGAAAGTTGTTTCTGCTTCTTGGTAGGAGGAAACCCTTGGCATGGAACTGATCCATGGTCACTAAGAGAAGGGCCCACCAGCAAAGCCAGAAGGGAGAAGGCTAGAAGACTTCGTTTTGGTCTCCAGATCTTGGCCAATTGTTTTCTGTTTGCATTGGAAGATCATACTTCTTTTTCATGCCCTTCTTTTCATTAAAAAATGTGTCACACAATTTCTTGGAAATAGCCATTTCTCAGAACAAACAACATTTTGTGACAGATGAACAGGAAAAAAAAAAGTAGCCGATGTCATTCAATATTTTACCTAAGTGACTTTTCAGAGGTCAGGCATCTTAAAAAAGAATTACTGGAAATGTTCATGAACTTATATTCAAAGGTGATTCGAGTTTAATTCAGTTTGTCCCTTCCAGGGAAAAAAAGCAGCTCTGTTTTGAAAATTGAGCAATGACGTCCTGTGACTTCCGTTGAAATGACAGAAGGATATGAGGTTGAGGGGTGAGAGGAAAGTTCCCCCACCTCATACCCAGGAAAATCAACCTTATTTCTTATACTCTCACAGTTAAAAATTGGGTAAGAGCAAAGACCTGCACGCCTATTAAAGAAACAACTTGAGATCCTGTAACGGGCTGAGCTACAAATTCTGACATATAGTCACTGAGAAGAGGGGTTCAGAAGTTCTAATCACTTGTACTCATTTTCTCTCCTGATTTAGTTGCATAGTCTTCTCAAATTTTTCCACCCAAGTGCCAATAATGCCAGGGATGGAATAAAGAAGATACATAATAAAAATGAAATATGTTTGAATTCTTATATTTTTCTTTAAAATTCATGCTTATTTGCATGCTTCTACGATATATCACTGTGGTTTCAATTTAAGCTTTTACTCCAAATCGACAATTAACACTGACTTCAGTAAAATGTACCACATTTTCTTTGTGACTCTACTACTTAATCCTAGATACATGTTTACATACTTCAGCACTAAAGGTCTTAGATTAGTTTAAAGGACCCATGTTTTATTTTTTAGTTAATCACTGTTCAACTAGTGGGTACTGTATTATTCCTCTGATGTCCTCAACAAAATTAACTGTCTTAGCATGTTGAAGGTTTATCATGAGAACTCAAAATGATTTCCAAAATCTAATCTTGACCCTTTACCTAATTAAATATTGAATTAAAATCAGTTACACTCTTTCTATACCATGATCAAATTTGGGAACATTTCTTTGCAGACGTATTTTTCCTCTCAATGCTAATTTTGGTGGTTCTGAATAGAAAATATTTTATCATGTTTATAGAAACTGCTGGCATCTGTGTTGCTGTCTTCCCAGGAGGCAGAATCCTGGAACTTGTCTTATGATGACTTTCCATGACTGATCATACAGAATACATGGAAATGACTCCATGAGAAAGTGTTGATAGAGCCTCAAAAGCAAGTCCTGATATCCTGATCAAATACCTCCCCCAGTTCTCTGTTCTCCAATAAGTCTCTGGAGCCAGAGGTGCTAGAGCAACTATGGACGTGAGACTTCCCACTTTCATGATCAATTTCCATTTTATTTCCTCTGAAAACCAATGCAACAGGAAAGGAAAAAGTTTTCCATAGAAACACCATTAAAATTAGTTTAAATAAGCCAGACACAAATGACTACATATTATATGATTCCATTTATGTAAAATGTCCACTAAGGGCAAGTTTATGGAAACAAAGCATACCAGTAACTATGTAGGGCTAACGGTAGGAGTAGGAATTAACTGCCAATGTGTATAAGAGAAATTTGGGGGGTGACTGAAATGTTCCAAAATGTGATTGTGGTGATGTTTGGGCAACTCTATAAATTCAATTAAAGTCACTGAATTGTAGGCTTACGATGTGTGAATTCTGTGGTACAGAAATTATACCTCAATAAAGCTGCTCAAAAAAAAAAAAAAAGGAAACTTCATGCTTTGGAGAGAAAGAATGCTTCAATTAGGCATTTAATAATCTAGATATCATGAAAAATTTCTGGCTAATTGGAAATGCTTAAACACAGCAAAATAAGGCATTGCTTAAAATAACTGAAAGCGATGCCAAGACCAGTATAAAGCTCTCTACTTTAGCAAGTGGTTGTTTATGCAGATTAAAAAAAATTTTTTTTGTTAATTTATATGGAACATTTGCTCAAAAAAAGTAGAATTGGGCTTTATTAATTTGTCATCCTGATAATATATCTCCTACCAAGAAAGAAGTTTAAACTAGCACCTGTAAAAGACTTAATAAGATGGAATAAACAAGTTAAGTGAAATGTAAAAGTTGGATTATTTCTTTCCTCTGTTTTTGTTTCCTTTGCAAGGAAAGACCCTTGCAAGGAAAGAACCAAAAAATAATAATAATAATATTGAGAATGATGCATGCTAGCTGATCAACAACCCAATTTTCTCTTCCTGGGTGCACTAGAAGACTATATTTCCCAGCTTTCTTTGCATTTAAGATGTCATGTCTGGCAAATAACATAAGAGCAGAAGTGATATATGCCACTTCCAGGCAAGACAATAACACATACTACACAACCCTCCATGCTCTCTCTCTTTTCTATGGATACAGCTGCAACTTCAAGAGCTTCAAGGTGGTAGACCACCTCATGGAAGGATACTAGATCCCTGAATTACTTCCTAGAAGAGAGGTGATGGGGAGAGCTGTCCTATTGGCGCTGGACTTTGCCTGAACAAGAAATAAACTTTTCTTTTCTTGAGCCACTGAAACTTGGGGATTACTTGTTATAGCAGTTAGTATTAATTAGTCTAACTAATATAATATCCTACAGCACTCAAAGCATAAGGATAAACTTTTTTCTTTTTATCAACGAGCCCCTTTCTTTCCCTCATGCCTCTCTCTCCTATTTCTCTTTCTGTTCCCCTTCCTAGTCAACTCCAGTTAATGTTCCTTTATGAGGCAGAGGAAGAAACAGGTGAGTAGTTTGGAGCCTGTATCTTATTAGGACCCCTTTTTAAGAGCTAGGATATTTGAATGGGATAAGATGAAGATAATAGACTGCAGTTCTTCCTTCTGCGGGGCCAGAATGTGTCTCAAGTCTTTGGTTAAAACGTTGCATTATCACCAAGAGCAGTGCTGTGTTTGCAAACCCCGCTAAAATCTCCCTGCAGTAGTAAATTTGAGGAAAGAAATGACAGAGTTGGCAGCCACCTCTGGGTCATGAACTTTCTGCTTTTATTATTTGAAGCTTTTGGTAGTGGAGAAGTGCATGCTGGTTGTTCTAACACTTTTTGTTCACTCAAGGGTTATTTCCCAAAGACAACAAATTACCATTTCAATTCATTTTCAAGTTATTTCATTATCCACATGCTCTTTCCTCCTTTTCTGCATATAGAGCAAATGCCAGGAAAGAAGAGAGGACCTGCCCCAGTTCAGAACCCACAGTCCAAGCCACAGTCAGCCCTTTACCATCACCCCAGCCCTCCACCTTATGAACCCCAGGTCCTCCCTCCCAGCTCCATTGTCAAAAAAAAAGAAAATAATTCAAATAAAAAACAGCTCATAAAACAGTAAACAAAATAAAGTCAGTTTTTCTTTTCTTTTTTTTAAGAACAAAATGAAACTTGAGGGAAAACTTACTGGAGTTACAGTTTATCCTGATACAGTCTAGATGGGGAAAAATAAATGAAAGATGAAATTGCATCCTTCAAGGTAACAGCTGCAGACATCCAAAACAATCAGTCCACCCTTCCGGGGACAGACACACGCAAGAAATGTGGCCATTTTATATAGATACAGTATATACAAGTTTAAGGGTGGGTGTATATGTACAGTATATTATTTAGTAAAGCTGGATACATATATATATACACACACACACATATATATACACATATGTATAGAGATATATACTGATATACATATATATCCACAATAGACACCAAACATGTTTCTTTTTTTTTTTCCAAAAAAAGTATTCATTGATATAAAGTAGTTCACACCTGGACTCTGAAATATTAATTTTGTTAAACTTGGAAAATTAGGTAAAAATTCCCCCACTAAATGCAGGATATATTGTATTTTCCCCTATAATTTATTTTTCTTAGAATTTATTTTTTAAAATAACATTAACACAATTTTTGCACTAGTATTCTAAAGATATATCACGTCTGACACATTCTATGATTTAAAAAAAAATCTGTCCATGAGTTTCTCAGTGCAGTATTTAACCCTTTCTCTTTTTCTGATAACAAATTCCCTCCACCCTCTCCCTAAGTCGGGCCCCAAATGCTATAGAAATTTGCATAGTCAAACTTGCCATCATCCTTAGAGGTAAGGAAAGGGTTAACACCACCTGGTCATTTCCTGTCATAAAATGGCCACTTGCAAACGGCTAACCGCACAAACACCCATCCCAGATTTTAGAGAGGTGGGGTTGGGTGTCGGGTGAAAGAAGTTGTATGATGTTATCACAATTGATTGAGCTCTCTGATTGCTATTTTTTCAAAGGCTCCCAGACTGACCCACTCATGAAGCCCATCTCCGTCTTCCTGCCTGAATGCTCAGGCTGAATCGAGTGCCCACAGCATTCAGGGAGAAGGCGACACAGGCACACGAGAAGGAGGTCTCGGGCACCTTTGACATCCTACCTATTTCACTCTGCGATTCTGAATGTTGAGGAGAGAAAATTCTTTGCTTTTGGTGTTAGTTTTTTTTAAATGGGAAATAGAGGGAAGAAAAGGGTGGCTAACTGTCCAGTGCTGGTAACCAGACAAGGAATTCTGTGCCAGAGAGCACAGTATCTCTCACTCTATCAATCTCTGTTTGGGCTTCATGGACACACACTATTAAAGTTCTTGAGTAGAGTCGGTGGGGGTTAGTAGGGGATTGGGTTAGAGAAATGTCTCAGGTTAATTGTTAGCAAGCTGCCCAATTAAACCCAAGGTTGGTTTATGAAGGTGAGAATTCCAATAAGAATTTGTTTGAAGTCAGATATTAAAAGGTAGAAGTCAAATGATTTTAAAAAGGAAGAAAGGTACAGGAAAAAAATACAGTTATCAACTGTGTTCTTCTTAAGGTTGACCCAATAGTCTTTAGAAGACTTGTCAAGAATAACGCCACCACTGGAATTTCCCAAAGTAAACCACTTTAAGCGAGCAAGTGAAAAAGGAACCAGTGGCAAACCACAGGGCAGAATGAACCTATGTGAAATCTGGATACGGCCAATTGACAACACCCAATCATTCTGAGGAAGGAGGCAGAAGCTTATTTGTTCCCCAGAAGACTTGTCAAGAATAACGCCACCACTTGAATTTCCCAAAGTAAACCACTTTAAGCGAGCAAGTGAAAAAGGAACCAGTGGCAAACCACAGGGCAGAATGAACCTATGTGAAATCTGGGTACGGCCAATTGACAACACCCAATCATTCTGAGGAAGGAGGCAGAAGCTTATTTGTTCCCCAGGAGACATCTCTTGAGAAAAATCTGGGTTTGGTTTCGTGCGGTTAGGTTTGTCATGTGTCGTCAACCGCAACAGAAAAGTGGGAGCAAACAGCCCTGGAGCAATTGGTACGATCACCAGACAGAGGAGGCCATGCCCCTGGTGAGGACCGGGAAGAGGGAGGACAGGGAGCAAGGAGGAGGTGGGGGCTTCAGCTATTGGTTACACCCGCCATAACCCAAAGCTGGAGAAAGCCCCCTCCTGGTGTACTAAAGAGAGAGAAAGACAGGTGTATGGGCATGCGTAAGACAGCGGGAGAGAGAAAGAGTGGGCCTATGCACAAACCCAAGGACTGCAAGCAATGAGGGGTTCTCTTTTTTGGTTCCTGTGTAGCTGAGGATTATATTATTAGATAAGAACCTAGGGACAGGTGCTGTGTTGGGCTCATCCTTCTGGGTTCCATGGGAACTGAATGGTGCCTTTAAATCAGTGTGAGGACTTGGAGATTTCAGGATGGCAGTTTGTTTATTTTAAGTCAAGCGTTGAAGAATTAGTTTGTTACTTTGCTCAAAGAGTAAGTGGGTTGAGGGGAAAAATCTACCCCAGTCCCTTCTTCAAAAGCTCTGAGGGGGTAGCCTTGAAAGTGAAATTATATATTTTTTGATAAAAAGCAAGTCAGGGGAATTGACCTGGGAAGGCCATTTCCTTTTAGATCTAATTTCCATAGCAGCCAAAATTCTCTCCCTGCTCGAAAAAAGTCTGCCTGAATCTTGGCATGATGTTTGAGGTATGTGCATGTGCATGTGCGTGTGTGCCTGTGTGTGTGTGATCTATTTTGCTTTTCAGTTTTTTGTTTTATTTTAGTATATGAGGAGAGATGACTATTTTCCATATTGATGAGTTTTGTGTTGAGCATAGAAAAGGTGAATGTTTCTAAGAGTTGTGCATTTTCAATAATGCATAGTCCATGTTTCCAGAAAGAGAACATCTGCAGAATTTAAATGCAATTGATCAAACTGCATGACACTGCCTTAGAGCCTCGGCCATAGAAGAAGGGCTCCCAGCACTCTGCTGAGAATCCTAAAGGCTTTATCCATAACGACTGACTTCTACATTGTATCCCAAATAGACACTAAGGAAAAAGGAAATTCCCTCTGTGTATGTTTCAGAGGTGATCATCACGACAGCAGTTAGAAGTCACTAAGCTGTAGAGGTAACAGATAACCCATGCTGATCTAACAGTTTAGAGACACGGCTTCTAGTTCCAGCTCTGCTACCAACTTTTTATGTAAGCTTTGTAAAGTCATGTTTTCACGTCTGTAAAAATAAGCATAAAAACACTTTCTTGATTTATCTCACAAAATTATCATGAGATTAAAATAAGACAAGGTCTTTTAAATCTTTAAATAAACTGTGAGAATAAAATATAATTTTTATATATTTTAATTCTAAAGGATCAAAATATGTACCATCAGCTACTGGTTCTTGGTTTTAGGTAATATACTCGTGCATTGGTTTGTTTAAGGTGAAGGAGGATGGAGCAGGGAAGGGAAGGTGGGAGGGACAGGGGTATGCCAGTCCCTGTAGGCTGCTCAGTACTCTCTGTTCTCAAGGCTGTTTGCTATGCGGGCCGCAGGCTTTGGGCCTTTGAAGGGTTGAATACCATCTTTTGATTTACCATGGTTGATGGGGAAGAGGGTTGGAAACTCAAGAACACAAAAAAAATGGTCCAGCAAAAGAGAAAAACGAAACCTAAAATAACTAAACACACACATACACAAACAAAAGAAAAACCAAGAGACACACTGACAGTAGAAATCAAATGAGGCTGGACGAGAAAAAGGGCATATTGTCGTAAAAGCTAAACTAGAAGAAAAAAAAAAGACATGACTAAATCAGACACTGCTCAAAACAGTCCTGAGTCCTAGAGATTTGAAGATTGCAGTATAAGCACTTTTCAAGTGTGACCAGTTTGTCTGACACCAGTTGACCTGGCAGGGACTCAAAATCCCACCATCCCACCGGGCCACCTAGGGCTTTATATGGTCTTGCATCTGGTACCTTTGCCCACTGTGTGTTTCCATTTTTCTGATAAGCCATTCCATTGAAATCTTTAAAAAGGCATTCTTGTATCCAAATATATTCTGTATACTCAAATAAATCCCTTAGCTTAGAAAGTTTGGACTAAGCTATATTACTAATCCTGTCAACACTGGGCATGGACTTTCTGCTGAGTAGGAACAGTGGAAATAGAGGTTACTTTTTTTTTTCCCTTCCAAAAACCCAGAGGGCCCACATTCTACCTAAAAGATCAATTAGAATCCAGTAAAAGGATCAACAGCAGGAAGCAATGTAAGGACATAAAAAGGAGAATCTCCAAGTTATAGGTCATTTCAGTGAAAGGACATATTCTGTCCCAACAAAGCTACAAATTGAAGTTGTTATGTTTTTTTCAGTTCTAAGGTAAAAAAGATATGTATTATATGAGGAGAACAGAGTAGTCGGTGAGTAACTGTAAGGTAACAATCTTTACCAAAAAAAAAAAAAGCCTGCCAAGGGATAGTTAAGAATGTCAGGAAGGAAAACAGGCATGCAGACCAGGAACCACATTTTCCTTCCACATCTCACAGACTCTAAACTTAGGGGATTATCTTTCCAGCAGGACAACAGAAAAAATCTGACTTGTCCTCCCACTAGGAGAAAGTATAAGGAGGTATCAGTGTCATCAAGGCCACCAGAATTCCCCATTTGAATAGCCATATGGAGCTGGAAACAATGCATTTCTCATCCTACTCACAGGTTAGTTCCCTGCAACCCACTCTCCCATTCTGCCTCCATATCCTGCCCTGTCTCTGTCCTCTGCATTGACTGTTTTGAGTGGTGACCGAGGAGTTGGACTTAATGAGAATATGATGGATCAAAAGATGGACCAAAGTAGCGTGTTTTACACAAAGCTAAACGATTCCAAAAAATCAAGAAAGGAAACTTAGAAGACAAATAATCTAGTAAAGAAACCACCACTGTCAGAAACCAGAAATTGACATCAAAACTTCATGCAGAAACAAGGAGGTGATTGTTGCTGTTGGGTTTTATCCTTAGTCTATTAAACAAGAGGTGAGCAGCTAACTTTCAAGAAACAAACAAAGAATTCAATCAAACCAATGAAAATCAGAAAAGAAAGGGAAGACAAGCCCAAACAGAGTGGCAGAGGGTACTTCATACGATACCTAAGTTAACCATGAGCTTGACACGCCCACCATCCAGCTCCAGACGCAGGGTGTCAGCAGAGTCCCTGGAGGTCGTTGCCACCAGCAGCCCATAAGCTCGCTGGGACATGAACCGGAAGGACACGTCCTCTGCTTCTGTGTGCATGACCATGGGCATGATGATCTTCATGTACATGCTGCCATCATAGCTCAGGATGGAGGCCTCTGCCGAAAAAGAAAGCAGGAGATCATTAACATGAAGGCTGTTAGTGCTTTTAAATACCCCTCACTTCCAGACTGAGTAGAGAGGGGCCAAATTTGCAGGCAGATGACTCGTTTTTGATCACCACCCATTGTTGGCACTTTTTAACTATGTATCTTTGGACAGACAGGCCACCTAAACTCTGAGACTCTGTTTCCCTATTTGCAAATGGCATATGACGGCACTGGTGTCTGTTCTACATGCTCACAGGTTTGTACCAAATCGTATCTTTGGACAGACAGGCCACCTAAACTCTGAGACTCTGTTTCCCTCTTTGCAAATGGCATATGACGGCACTGGTGTCTGTTCTACATGCTCACAGGTTTGTACCAAATTAAGTAATGGATGTGAAGGCATTTTGCAAAAGTGAAAATGCCCCCCCAAATAGTAGTAATTGTAATTCTGTGTACTGTAGCTAAAACAAAAATACATAAAACAAAGCTTAGAATCCCTGTATTTCATGAAGGATAGGAGGAGAGCAGCAGCTTAAAATCACCAGAGCAGACAAATTGGTGTTTTCCAGAGATCCTCCAGAATGAGGAAAGGGCAGCAGCAGGCTGGCACCCATAACTCCCCCAGAGGCCAGGCATTGTGAGGGTTTGCTTGGCCCATTCAAAGAAGATTGATAGAGCCAGAGCTAAAACAACAACAATAAAAAGCTAATGACAATCTTGAGAAATGTATTTTACTTTTATTCAAATGGCACTTCTATGAGGAAGGAAGAAAACTCGTTCTTGTTTGATACTTTCTTTAGTACAAGCACTTTGGTTAGGACCCTCCTCCCATACGTTACCTCACTTAATGCTACAGTGTGGGTCTATTATTCCTACTTTCAAACCAAAAAAACTGAGGCTCTTAGCAGGGGATATTATGATGCCAAAGTTACACAGCTAGGATTTTGACCCAGAATATCTGATACCAAGTCCAGGAACTGTTTTATAACACTATGATGTTCAACATGTTAATTTGTTCAATCTTTCATTTGGCAAATATTTTTAGAGAACACAGGGAGAGAATATTGCTCACATCCTATAAAGCTAGCCATCCTATGGGCTCAGAATCTGGCACTGAGTAGGTCTTCATTAAATATTTGCTGTTGTCAAATAGTTGCCACCTACATGCAGTGTGCAGAATACAAAGCTGGAACAGACAAGCCCAAGGTCCCTGTTCTAAAGAGAGACAAAGCATGCACAAATCACTGTACTACAACATAAAAATGATTAAATGACAGAGGAAATATATACAGACAAAGCCAGTGGCATTCAAAGAAGAGATATTGTGGGATGCAGGTGAGTAAAGTAGAGTCTGAGATGGTCTTGGTAGAAGGTTGGGGTTTGAAATCAAAGAAGTGATGGTATCAGATTTGACAGGCAGATCAGCATCTCCACAGACATAAAAGAAAAGAAGGGGGGTGCTCAGATAATAACAAACTATTCAATTTAGCAGAAGCATCAGACATACATTTTGAGAAGTAGAAGTTACATAAAGGTAGTTTGAGATTACAATAAAATCACTGGACTTTGGTAGATACTGGGAAGTAAGTAAATGGTTTTAGGTTACAAGGTACTACAGTGCATTTGTTTGTGCTTACTGAATACCAGGCACTCTTCTAGGTGTTGAAGACATCACAGTGAACAAAAGAAACAAACATCCCTGCCCTCATGTGTAGAAGGAATGGGAACAGGGAGGGACCAGGGGCAGGCAGACAACATGGAAGGGTCCCAAAACACTCTGTGTCATCATCATAACCCCACCCTATTTACATTACATACAAAAGATTCCTGAAAAGTAATACAAATGCATCTACTAATACCCAGGAAAAACTATCCCCCAGGCAAAATTTATGACATGCTAATAACTGCACATTACAATTCACAAACTCTAAGAGGATAAAACACTTGCAGACACCATCACAATAAAAGACATTATGAAGATCTCTTTTTAGATGGAAAACATAATCTAAATGCTCCAGATGTGAAAAAAAATTGTTTTATCTCCTGGAAGAGCAGAATCAAAAGATCAATAATGATAGCTGAAATGTATTGAGCACTTACTGTTTGTCTGGTGCTTTCTAGGACTTTATATGCATTAAGAAGTCATTTAATCCTCAAGAACACCATGAGGAAGATAATATTATTATTGTATTTTCTAGATACCAGGTTGCTCAGTTAATAAATGGCAGAGCTGGGAGTTGAATGCTGGCAGTCTGCTTCATGACTGTATACTTAACCATTCTGCCAAATTGTCAGAGAGCGATGTCAGAGCACACGCATGTTTCTAAGCACATTACGCTTCATGGTACAGTGTGGTGCTCTTGTGTATGTGTATGTATGTGTGTGTGTGTTTGTGTGTACATACACACATGCCATTATTTAAAGTTTTATATTGTTTATATATATACAATATTACATAAACATAGGTAATACATATATTTCTAAATAATATATTGTTCTATATGAACATGCACAATGTTCTGTGTGTTTGTGTCATTATGAACACCATTAATCATTAATATGTGCCTTCTATACACAACCACACACATGTACACTCCAAGAAATATTACAGTATTAAGTAAGCCATGAAATGGTTGTTTTGATACTTTCAACTTACATACATTACAAAATGAATGGTTGTTTTCATCCCTCTGAATACGTTTAGTCCAGAACAGGTATACATATAAATGAATGCATTTTTATGTAAATAGTGGTTGTATCAGAGAATAAATAGATGAGTATGTAGTTAAACAGCTAATGGTACAAAATAAAGTGTGTATTTCAGTGTGTACCTTTGTGTGCATCTCTGTGAGCATGTTCTATTATTAACTTAATACTTATAAGGGGAGGGTAATGAAGCAGAAAATTTAATATAGAAATTAGCTGAAACAAAATCTGTTCCATGGGTTCATATTAATTTGCTTAAAAGATTTCAAACACAAGGAGTGCTATAAATAGAATCCTAAATTTAGGGGTAAAATGAGCCTATAGAGAAAAGTTATTTAATATAAAACCTATCAGATTGTTGAGTACTGAGAGACCACTTCATGGGATGACCACATAATGTACTTAAATAGTTCCCTTATTTTGTCCTTTTTTTCCTTTACTTCCTTTTTTTTGTCTTAAGCGAATATTTTCTAGCATACTATTTTAATTCCTTTAATGATTTTTAAGTATATTTTTTAGCTACTTTCTTCTGGTTGCTCTAGGGCTTACAATGTGCATCTTAATTTACCAGAATCTATTTTATCTTTGTCTTAAGCGAATATTTTCTAGCATACTATTTTAATTCCTTTAATGATTTTTAAGTATATTTTTTAGCTACTCTCTTCTGGTTGCTCTAGGGCTTACAATGTGCATCTTAATTTACCAGAATCTATTTTATCTTTTTACTAACTTCATTCCAGTAAGATACAGAAACTTTACTTTATATAGTTCTCTTCCTTTCCTCCTATTTTTGTGTTATTATTCATATTATGTCTACATATACTACAAACCGAACAATACATTTTTATAATGATTTCTTTATAAAAACTTATGTCTTTTTAAGAAGCTAAGAAAGGAGAGCTAAAATATATTTATACAGTATTTTTTTTCTAAATTAAGCTTATTATTTACCATCTCTGTCTGTCTTCATTTCTTCCTATGAATTCAAGCTAGCATCTGGTGTCATTTCTTGTTTTCAATATAGCTTCATTTATTTGTGCTATATTGTCAAATACATTACAGTTCTACATGTTATAGGCACAGCAATACAATTTAGAGATATTGTTTTATGCATTGCCTTTTAAATCAGCTAAAAAAGAAAGAAAAAGAAATGTGTGACTACACTGTCTTTTATCATTACCTACATAATTACCTTTATAGAAGCTCTTTGTTTTATTTTCACATAAATTCAAATTCCTGTCTGCTGTCACTTCCTTTCAGCCTGAAGCTTTTAAAAAATAGTTCTTGTAAGATACATATACTAGTAATGAATTCTCTTTTTTGTTTATCTGAGAATGTCTTTATTTCACCTTCATTTTTGAAAGACAGCTTTGCTGGATATAAAATTCTTAATCGACAGTTATTTTTCTTTCAGGACTTTAAATGCCATCCCACTGCCTTTGGCCTCCATTGTTTCTGAAGAGATATCAGATGTTAATCTTATGGTGCCCTTGTATATGAGTCATTTTCCCTCTTGCTGCTTTCAAGATTTTCTCTTTATCTTTGGCTTTCAACACTTTTTTTTCCCTTTTTGTCTTTTTTACTGACCGGCAACGGGATCGCAACCCTCGGTGTTGCACCCACACTGCGCTCAGCCAGTGAGCGGGAACCAGTCTCCACATGGGATCCAAACCCTCGGCGGGAGCGCCACCACGCTCCCAAGCGGCGCACTCTCCAGTGCGCCACTGGGCCAGCCTGGCTTTCAACACTTCTATTATGAGTCTGGATGTGACTCTCTTTGTGTTTACCCTACTTAGAGTTCATTGAGCTTCCTGGATGTGCACATTAATATTTTTCATCAAATTTGGAAAGTTTTCAGCCATTAAGTCTTCAAACATTGTTCCTGTCTCTTTCTGTCTCTCTTTTCCTTCTGGTGCTCCCATTATACAAGAGTAGATCAAAAAGTTCATGGAAAGATTTGCATTAGCCTGTAATTCTCTTTTCCACAACTTTTTAAAGTACCCTCCACACACATGTTAGTATACTTAATGGTGCCCATATTTCTCTGGGGCTCTATTCATTTATCTTCATTATTTCTTTTTCTATTCAGATTGCTTAATCTCTACTGATATACCTTCCAATTTGATGATTCTTTCTTCTGCCAGCTCAAATCTACTGTTGAGCCCCTCTAGTAAGTTTTTCACTTAAGTTATCATACTTTTCAACTCCAAAATTTCCATTTAGAGAGAGGTAAGTAAGTAGGTAGATACAATTTTTATTCCTTTGTTAATATTGTCTATTTGATGAATCATTATCTGATTGCT